CATGTGTGAGCCTTTCTTTACAAAACACCCACAGAATCAACCCTGGGCCACAGAATATAGTAAAATGGCCACAGGAACCTTAGAGTCATGAGTTGCATTCAGCGCTTGCTCGGGGCTTTGCTCCAAGCAGCACACATGTGTGAGCCTTTCTTTACAAAACACCCACAGAATCAACCCTGGGCCACAGAATATAGTCAAATGGCCACAGGAACCTTAGAGTCATGAGTTGCATTCAGCGCTTGCTCGGGGCTTTGCTCCAAGCAGCATGCAGAGTTCAACTTACACACGGTCAAGGGTAGGAGCGCCCCCTCCCCTGACGCTCTCCCCTTCCCTTCCTCTGTGCAGCGTGAGAATCTGGCTCATGCTGCCAAAAATAGATTTGTTTTTATAGGGATGAAGGAAGAGGGTGGAAGTTCCAGAAAGAGACACGTTCTGTAAAAAGGAAGACAAAAAATGCACTTTAACTGTTCACAGAAACCCTGGGCATCATGAAACTTTTTCACAGAGTCAACCTTCAAAAGGAAGAGGGTGGAAGTTCCAGAAAGAGACACGTTCTGTAAAAAGGAAGACAAAAAATGCAGTTTAACTGTTCACAGAAACCCTGGGCATCATGAAACTTTTTCACAGAGTCAACCTTCAAGCAATGCCCAGAGATGGGACATTGGGTCACCACTGTCTGTGAAGACATAGCCCTGCATTCTGAGTTTTTCTCAGGAAGGATATTCAAGATTCACGGTTGTGACTCTCATTTCCCAGCCCACAGGAAGATTTCAGTGACAAACATGTGACCCGTCAAAGGTCAATTCTTATTTTTAGCCTGAAAAAGAAAGAGGTGCAGTGACTGGTCAGTTTGTCAGGGCTGTGGGACCTTCTGGGGGTGCTCACCAGGCATCCATCTATGGGAAGGGTATTTATTTAATCAGGAGGATATTTGTTTCCTTCTACAATGTGGTGACTGCCACCAACCCTTCCACCCAAAGGGCATCCTGTCTGCCTGACTCCAGGCAGACGAGCTGGATGGAGGCTTGTCAGAGGCTTCCTGAGCACAAGTCCAGGGGACAGTCATGTGGGGGCTGAGCTTCAGCCTCCCACCTGACAGATGGAGGAGAAAGAGGCCTGGAAGCAGGGCTGTGAGATGATGCTCTGGGAGCATCCGGCATCGTGAGAGGCAGCTCTGAGTTCGGGGCCTTGGCTTGGACGGTCTATGACTCGCTGCCCATGAGGGCTGCAGGGCAGTGTGCACGGACAGTTTCATCTGTGAAACTCCTGAAACATATCTGGTGTCAAGTGCTTGTTGAAGAAATGGGGTAAATCTCTATCTTTTATAATTCGCCGACTCGAGACACCTTTAGACCCTTTAAGAGCATTCAGTGAAAAGATGGCAGCAGAAAGAACAGCTGATCCCTCTTCTGAGGCCTTTAGAAAAGATTGAGAACAAGGAGGTAGTTTCACTGCATCTGGGGGGGTCGTGGGTAGGAAATAGTCCAGTTCATTTCTAAAGGCATTTTGCCTAAAATGTGTAACTCTAGTAGGTTCCAGAAACCTGTTAAATAAATGATGCTACCACATGTTTGGTGATCTTGTCTAACACAGGGACACAGATTGCAGTTGCATCCCTTTCTGAGCAAGCTGCAGTGAAAAGTAATCACATCTGGAAAAACAAAACTGCCTAACGCCCAGAACTGGTGCAGCTGTAGCTGGTTTGTAGCCCGACGACAGGCCAGCAGAGCACTTAACTAGTCTGGCCATCTTTCTCAGCCTCAGACACAGTCCCTTGGCAGATTTCCCAGGCAACTGCAGGGCGGAGGAGGAGGGCCAGGGAGTGGGGTTGTCGGTGTGAGCACCGCTTCCTTGAGCCTCGCTGGAGTGCGCTTTTCTCACCTCCTCTGGGTGGAGCGGGTGATCACAAAGGAGGGCCCTCAAAAGCTGCTACGATGGGGCTCCCGCTGCCCCAGATTCTTGGAGGAGTCCAGTGGGGCGGCATGTTCTGAGTTCAGACGCTTTGTGTTTGTAGAACCCCCAGGTCACGCCTGTGGAATGCTTGCTTCAAGTTCAGCAGAGACGAGGGCCAGGAAACTGCAGAATAGAGGCTGACTGGAGGCAATGGTCGACTGTCTCATTCAGCAGCTCCCTCCTGAGCACCTACTATGTGCTACGGGGCAGGAAGACCTGGCTGTTGCCCTTAAAATACACACCATCTTGCAGGAGAGGCCAAACATGTCTTCACCATCTGTGTAGTTGGAGACAGGCTATATTAAGTGCTGCGGGGACCCCAGTGGAGGGAGAATTCACATCACAGTTTTAACCATGAAGTGCCAGCTCCAAAGGCAGAGCAAAAGTGTTCTGCTCCAGTTGACCCTGGCCTAATTGCAGCAAACAGGCCCACAGGTCTCCTGAGGGCTGCAGGGCCAGAGGACTTCTGTTGAGAGTGACTGCAGGCGTTGGTGCAGAAACAAAGCCTACACTTCTGGGCACTGGGTCCTCCTGCTGAGAGAGAAAGACATCTGGGTTTTTGAGAGTCTGGGCGATTCTTTTGCATTTCCTCCTTTTCTTGGAGTCCACAAGCAGATCTAGGCATCCTGGGGAGCTGGAATTTGTACAGAGCCAGCTGCCTCCTCTGTCCCTCTCTCCTTAGCTCTCCTCAGTGGCCTCCATAGGAGTTTGCTGGTAGGGACAGGGCCCCTCACTGCCGCTGGGGAGCTTGATAGTCTGGATCAAGCAAAGAAGTGTGGTCACTTTGTCCTGGGCCTCCCAGACACTGCCTGGGCCCCTCTCTCACCTCGCCTTCTCCTCACCTCTGGAGTGGGGTCCCCTTTACCTCCGCTCCCCATCTGCATCCTCTCCCAGGTATAGTGGGGAGCCCCTTGTGGAAATGGGTCAAAGACTGCTGTGGAGCCGAGGGCAGCGCAGCTGGGAAGGGACAGGTGGAAGGCTTCCCCCGAGGGTACAGCCCATGCTGCTTGGGGCAGACTCAGGTCAGCCCGAATGTCTTCAGGATATGGAGGCATCCCAGCTGGGGACCGTCCTGCTGGACTGTCACCACACACTAGGCATGCTTGGATGGCCTCAAGTCAGATAATTTTACTCAAGACCCTTCCTTCCTCTGCACTTGATTTGATTTTCCATGTAAAGATTTCGCATCTAAGTCAGCTCCTGCTCTGGCTCTCAGGAGAGGCGTGGGGAGTGAATGACAAGCTTCTGTGCCGCTCTTCTGTCTCCCCTCCCAGCCCCCACAGTCATGTCCCAGGACCCTGTTGCTCTTGTCGGCCATGTGGGGGCCTTTCTGCTGCAAATCCCACCTGGTGGAGTGGCATCCCATGGGGCATGATGATAGTCACGTGGCTTTTGAGTTGGTGGAGTCTTTGCCTTTCTTCCTTCCCCCTGAGTCCTGGGGTCCCACTGTAGGGCTCTGCTTCCCTGCCATCCCCTGAGTTTAATTTCTAGTGTGGACTTTGGGAGAGAATCTTATGCAGAGAGGCCCAGCTGCTTCTCTGTAGCAAGTCTGTCCTTCCTCACCCCATTTTGCGGAAGCTGGCCCTGTTCGCTCCTACGCTTCTATGAGGCCCTGGATCTGCAAACCCATGCAAATGGAAAAATCAGCACACGAGCTGTCCTTTAGAAGGGGTTCCTCTTGATCTTATTTGGGATTTTTTTTTTTTTTGCTGGGACCCTTGGGGTTAAGACTCAGAGCTTTCACCATTCCTGATGGTACTTCATGTGTGTGACCCATGTCCTCTTTCACTGGGCACTTTGACCTTTAGCTAAGGATTTAACCTTTGTGCTAAGGATGTCTAATATAACCACGGGAGAAAGTGAAGCTGGGGGAAAGGGAACCTTAAACTGCTTGAGTAGGGAGCAGTGGAAAATCTTTGCATGCATCTGAGTCAGTAGCCTGTTGACTGATGTCACATAGGGGCAGACCTAGCCTTTTTGATCTACGGACAGAGCCAATGGGCATAGACACTGCCCTCATGGTTGGCATAGCCAAGGGCAGCAGGCAATTGGGCAGGGGCTGTTCACTGTGGACAGTGCAGGACACAGGCATGGTTCTCATCTGGCCTGTGAAGTCAATCTTCCAGAAGGGTTTCTACCACTTGTGAGGCATTTGGTACTAGCAAAGTGAGGCATTTTAGTCACCTGCCTGCTGGTAGTGTCTCACTAAGACATAATCAATTAATCAATTGGGTTTACTTTGGGTGTGGTTACTATGGAGAACTTTCTGACTGCCTGTTGAGGCAGCGTGTCATCTGATACTGTCCTGGAGCAAATGGGTAAAGAGATTGTACCTTTAAACCAGCTCAGGTGGGAGTGTTAGAAGCTCCCCCAGTGACTGCAGTTCCTGAGAGCAGGAGAGCTGCAGGTGGATTCGAGAGTGCTGGTCTGCAAGGTACCAGACCTGCGACTGGCTGGCTCTGCTGCTTACAGGTTGGATACCTTTGAGCAAGACTGTGCTGGTTTTAGCACAGAAAGTCTCAGGTCCCGGGAAATCCCTCTGTCCTGGGCAAACTGGGACAGTTGGTCACCCTACCTCTCTGGTCCCTGGTTTTTTTTCTACATAAAGTGAATGCCTTGAAGATCCTTTGAATTTCTAATATTCTAACCTGAATTCTCCTTCCATCCTTGCCCAATAATCAATCCTCCTTAGCTCCTCCGCCCATGACTGTGAGCTGGCTCATCCTGGTGAGAGGTTACTTGTGCATGTGTGATGTTAGGAGACCTCCTGTCCCTGGTCTACAAGAAGAATCCACTGAACCTCAAGGGTCTGGTGTAGAACTGGGGGACTTCCTCAAAAGTGGGTGTGGGACAAAGGCCGCACCCTGAGATCCCCTAAGAAATGGCAACAAAGACAGCAAGCACAGTTGTGACAGGGACCAAGTGTGCTTCTGTCTTCCATCCTGCTGGCAACCAAGGAAATGCTGCAGGCCTGGAGAGCTTCCCCAAGCAAGTGAGACCTCCTGCTCCAGGTCCAGGCCATGGGAGGTGGGCAGAGACCTGGGTCAAGGCCAAGCCAGGCTCATTTCTCTGAGCATCCTCAGAAGGGTTGCCCCCCAGACCTCCTGGGCTGGAGGAGGAGCCCTTCTTAAGGCCTGGAGGAGCTGTGACTGGGACAGGTCAGATGTCACAGGGCAGAAGCATTTCTACCTACTGCAGGTCGAGGTCCCAAATGTTTGCAGTTAGAAGCCACAGATGGGAACTTGGGGATCGAGTTAGTAAAGGGATATTTACTATTATATGTAATATATATGTGTAATAAAAACTATTAAAGGGATAACGACTTTGAATAAGATACCTGCCAGCTGACTTTCAGTCCACACTCTAGAAAATGAAGGATGATGTGGGATTCCAGGAGGGGCTTCCTCCTGGAGCCGCTGCTCATGTGTCACTCCCAGCAGGCAATAGCGGGAACTGTCCTAGAGCTCTGGAGATAAGAGGTCAGATTCCTGGAGAGCAGAACCAAATGCTTGCCTAGCTGAGCTCCGGCGATGGCCTGTTTGTTTCTGAGGTCACCAACGGGTGGGCTTTGCTCCCTCTCGCTCAGACCAGGGAGCCCATTGTAACTGGGAACAGATCATCTGCCTTCTATCCTCTGATGGTTTTCAAAGCTTTGGAGCCTTCACTACTCTCTCCCTCCACTTGCATGTAGAACCCCATCTGCACCCCACAGTCCATACTCTCCCTGACTCCCTCCAAGCAAGCCCCAAGTGCAAGAGGCCCCGTGGCCAGAGAGCCTTGCATTTCCTGAGGGTGCTTGTGCATTTCCTTTGGCCACTATGCAGTTTGGGTACCTGGATGGGGCCTTGTACCCAGTGCCGCCTGATGTCAAGCTCTGCAGAGGCCTATGTAGGGAATGTCCTCAAAAAGCAGAGCACTAGTGTCCCTTCCTTGGGGGTGTCAGCCCGGGCTGGGTGTCCTTTGAGTGGCCTGTCCAGGGAGTTGGGTCCCAGCTTCTGCTTCTGTCTTCCAGGCGGGCCTGGTTTCCCCTGAGAACTCGGAGCAGCTCCTCATTGCCCTGGAGCCCGAGGCGGCCTCCATCTACTGCCGGAAGCTGCGGCTACACCAGATGATCGAGCTGAGCAGCAAGGCGGCGGTCAATGGGTACAGCGGCAGTGACACAGTAGGAGCTGGGTTTGCACAGGGTACCTCTGCTCTCTCTCTCCCCTCCCTCATGCTCTCTCCCACTCCTGACTCCTGGGTGTTTCCCTGCCTCTGACGATTTTAAAGACACTTAGTGCTGTGATGAAGAATCGAGATATTCCAGGAGGAGGTTGGCTGTAAACACCTCCATGCTCAGCCCCCCTACCTGGCCCCTCCAAAGACCCCATAAACTAAGCAGTGGTTACCCTGGTTTATCACCCACCAAGTGTAGGGGGCAGAGGGGCTTTTCTCCAAGAAACTGAAGGATGCCTGAGAGCAGTTCTTGGCCTTGCATTTTACTAGGCTCTTAATCTTTCTCGTCTGTCAACTGATTCTTAATCTAATCCCATTTGCCTGTTATTAATACCTCCATCAAGACTGTTGATTTATTGCTGACTCACTGACCGGGCCACTTCATGTGTGATGAGCTCATTATATGTCTTAGCTGAGAGTCTGAAATATAGATGAAATGGACTGACTTTTCCTGACCCGGGTGATGCTCATTTAGTTGTGGGGAGGTGCACCTGCTTAGGGAGACCCAGGATGGATATTTTAAGGAGCTTTTTCTCTTTAATAGTTACTTGCATGCAAGCTGGTCACTGTCTTGGTCTCTAGAACTGTTTTCCTGGGTTTCTAGGGCTTTGGGGGTCTGTCCAGGGCTACAGAGTTTGCAGACAAGCTAGGTCAGGGTTGAAGCACCAACGTGAGGCTGGGCACTGATCGGGATCGCTGTGTGTGGGGGGGGGGGGGGTGCGCTGTGCACCAGCTCTGAGCTCTGCTTTGTTCCCAGATGAGGGCTAGAGGCAGAAATTCACCCCCAGGTTGCCCTAGAAGGCCCCATGAGGGGGAAACATCAGTGAGGATTGTCACTGAGTTGTCCCCTCACAAACTTGTTCCCAGGTTTTCCTTGGTCCCCACACCTGAAGCCCATCTCTGCTCCCTGAAGCACTGGGCCTAGACTCACCCAGAGCAGATGCACATTTCTGTCCAGATGGTACTGGTCTGTCTTCTGCTCCTTTTCACAGAGGCAACTCTGCCCCAGAGGCCACCTCTCTGCATTTTAATCCCAGGATTTAGGAGTCTGTGAACCTCAGCCATAAGGCAGTGGCAAAGGTTCACTTGTCATCAGGCTGCTGCCTCCTCCTGCCACTGGCTGTGTGTTAGTGCCTGAGATGTGATCTACCCGGAATGAGTTGAAACAGGCTTCCCTCCAAATCTGGGGGCTGGACTTGCCTTTTTCTGGCAAAGCTCGGCCTCTCCTGGCAATGCTCGGCCTCTCCTGGCAAAGCTCGGCCTCTCCTGGCAATGCTCGGCCTCTCCTGTCATGCCAAGACTGTCGTTACTCTTATATAGCAAATGCATTAACATTTTAAATACTCAGGACCAGGTATTTATTAGTTTCCCTCTTCATTGTTTTCATTGGAAAAAAGAGGGAAGACTGGGCTTTTTTCTTACAAGGTGATTCTTAGTTCATAAACGGAAATTCATGTCAGAATTAGCCAATTGTAGCATAGCTCTTAATACTTTATAAGTGTAACACTCACATTTTAGGGGGAAACTTTTTTTTCAGTGACGACCTTCCCCAAGAGCTCAGCTTTTGGGTTCCTTTCCTTTATTTATTTTTATAATTTTTTTTAAAAGATGACTGGTAAGGGGATCTTAACCCTTGACTTGGTGTTGTCAGCATCACGCTCTCTCAAGTGAGCTAACTGGCCATCCCCATATAGGGATCTGAACCCGTGGCCTTGGTGTTATCAGCACCGCACTCTGCCAAGTGAGCCACCATCCGGCCCCTAGGGTTTCTTTCCTTTAACATGTCGTATCTACCCCCACACTGCTCTGTGTCTGTGTCCTGTGGCTTGTGGAATTTGCTGCTGTCCCCCTGTGCTCAGAGGGTCTTTTGATTTTAAAAATCCTCAAGTCATTAGCCACCACCCCTCCTAGGGGCAGTGAGGCAGCACCACAAGAACGTCTCTCCCAGAAGGAGGTGGGCGCAGTCGGGGGCAGCCAGGCCGAGGGCTTACGTCATCAGGAGCCCCTGAGCTTCTTGCCCCAGGGACACGCTGGAGAGCTGCGGAGCTGGCTCTGGGCTCCCGGCATGGCAGGCTTTGCCATCGGTGTTGTTTTATTCCTAAAGGACTTAATGAGATCAATAAAGGATACATTTTTCACAATCTTGGGCTTAATTTGCCTGAAAAATGGGATAATTTTTTGAGCGCTCAGAGCATGTTTTATTAGTCCCTCTTGGATGTTTCTTATGAATGCCATTTTGTTAGCTATCTAGATCATTTAGAAAACCAGATGCCTGCTTCAAGGTCTGTAACATGAGTTCATCTAGAGCCAGTGCTGAAGAGAAGGAGAGAAGCCTCGAGTTTGGGGAGCCTCCCCAGGCCTGTGGGAACTCTAACTGGGGGATGCCTACCTCTCTACTCTAAACTGGGCCCTGAAGAACTTAGAGCAGCCTGGGTAGTTGCCATTCTAATCTCCAGGGGAGAAGTTGTTTTATAAACACTGTGTTTGTTGCTGAAAGGCTAGAGGGTCGAGAGTGCTTTATTGCTTAACCAGCAACAGAGGGATTTGTACGGCAATTCAAAATCAGCAGCACCAGTTTAGGGAAAAAAAAAAAAAAAAAAAAAACGCTGGGGAGGGGGCAGCAGAGTGGTGGGCAGCAGAGCCTTCATCTGAAACATCAGGGGGCTGCTCTAAATCGTTCATAGTGGTTATCATTTGTTGACTACCAGCTCTCATACTAGGTGCTTGGTCTTCATTATCACCTACTGTGTGCTGGCTGTCACACTGGGTGCTGAGGACACATTACTACATTAGAGAACCAGTCCCTGCTCTGCCCATGAGGGGCTTGGCCTACTGTTATTATCCCCATTTTATGGATGAGGAAACTGAGGCCCAGAGGGGTTAAGTGATTTGCTCAAATTCCCACCTGGGCTGTGCCCTGCTGCTTCCCAGGTACCCTTTCACAGCACCTTCTCATCTCCAAACATTCCATTAGTCTGCATTTTCAAATTTCCCTGTTAAATCTCAAAGGCATGAGGGTCTGTGGTCTGAGGGTTAATTTCAAGCTATAAGACAAGAGTTGTGGGAACTGCAAGTCCCTTAAACTCATCTGTCCTAATTTCCTCATCTGAACATAAGGACAGTGATTTGTGCCTTCTCTGCCTTACAGGTGTCCCAGCCACTCAAGCAGCCCAAGCCCCAGCAAGGGCTGTGGACTCCAGCAGGGGTTGTCCCTCAGTGTTCAGAAGGCGGCAGTGCAGGGTTTTGCCGGGTTCAGATACTCCACCTGGTGGCTGAAGAGCATATTGATTTCAGCAGGATCAGGAAATGGCTCTCCATCCATTTATCCAGGATCCAGATTAGGAAAACATACCCCACATTCCTTGTATCAGACAAAGTTACTTGATGTGAAATTGTTTAACTGAGTGCACTGCAGACTGTTTGGCAGAAAGCTTCCTCCCTGGAATAGATTTTATTAACTCATTCCCCCAAAAATATCACTGGAGGAAAGGAATCTCACCAAGGTGAGCTTTTCAGCTGGGCATGGTCCGAAGCTGCCAAGCAGATGGAGAGATGAAGGTTGGTGGAAACAGCTACTTCTCCTGGGAGAGCTGGCCTTGCGATTCCCGACACTGTATTGGTGTAATCATTCTGATCAAGTGTCACTAGATGTTTCATCCCTAAACTTCTTCATGCTGCTGCCTGCACTGACTGTAGATGACTGTCTGCTCTTTCATGCTTTCTTACCTGTCGTCATTTTCTCTCCATTGGCCACTAGCTAAGGAACACATCCGGCGTAATCGGCAGAGTCGTACCTTTCTGGTGGAGAATGTCATAGGAGAAATCTGGTCCGAGCTGGAAGAAGGTAGCGTCCTTCAATATCCCTTGCTCTTGCTGGATGTTTTTGTGCTGCTAGCAAAAATGCATTCCCATTCATCTCATTTGCACTTTTCAAAAATGTTCAAAATCAGTGGGTTTTAAAGAACACTGACACAGGGAGAGCTCTTCTGGGAGCTATAATTTTGCATGTTGTAAAATCAGGCAGACTCTTCAGAAGAAAGGTAGGGACTGGAACTCACCAGTTCCAGAGTAAGCCTTGTGTTAAATACACAAGACTTCCTGCCACGTGAATAGTGCCCACTTGTGTGTGCCAGGTATGCAGCACTGTATGACATGAGTGTTTTAGACCTAAGGAGTCGCTCATCTGGGTCCTTCATCATCCATGCTTGGCTGGCCCTCCTGGGCACACATGATTGCATTCTCTGCATCACGGATTACTTGCTGTGCTGCTAACCAGCAAAACCATGGTACAGATGAGAAGCGTGGAAGGCACTTAGCTGGGTATGCCAAGTTATCACCCATCAGCTTGTTTCAGATGGGGTTGACAAGTGGTCTATGTAAAATATGGCTATTTTTGTACCAGGTGACAAGTATGTGGTTGTGGACAGTGGCGGTGGCACTGTAGACCTGACAGTTCATCAAATCCGGTTACCAGAGGGACACCTTAAGGAACTGTATAAAGCAACAGGTGAGCCACTGCATGGCGACTTTTCTCATACCCGAGCTGTTTCCAGGCGGTTCCATTCCAGTCATTTCAGATTCCTGTCAGCGCTTTATTCTCTGAGTGCCACCAGTATGTGGGATTGTAGGCGGGAAAGAGCATTAATGCCTGTTTGAAATTGTAAAGCAAAATGCTTTACATTAAATGTTCTTCAAAACAGACCACCACAACTTGAGTTTTGGCAGAAAGTGAGCCTGTTTCAGATCCTGGCCAAGGGAGTTTGTTTCTGAAAGTTCTGGAAGGATGTTGCCTATGTCTTAGTGCTAAGATCAGCCTTCTAGGAAGGACTCAGGATACCTGGTGCTGGATCAAGATTGTCAAACCAAAGAACATGCGCTTTTCCTTTGGGGGTGGAAGGGGAGGAAGGATAATGAACAATTAGCAGATTACACAGGGACTAGACAGGCCTGCTGATTTTCCAGACCTTGCCTTGGATTTCTTGGGTGGGAATGCCATGATGCTCCTAGTTAGATGAAAGTACTGATTTTATTTAAAATGTATTGATTTAAGACAGATCGTTGATGACAGATTTCCACAGAAAAAAATTTCTCCACATGGAATGAGAAGCAGCCAAGGGTTTTGAAGAGTAAGTAAAAAGTTCCAGCTGCAGGCTGCTTGCTTCGGAGACAAACGCCAGGGAGGTCTGCTTCTCAGGGATTGGATTCAGTTGCGAGTGTTTTTTTAACTATCATGGGCTCCTATCTTGTTTTCTACTTAGGTGGACCCTATGGATCCTTAGGAGTAGATTATGAATTTGAAAAGCTTCTGTGTAAAATATTTGGAGAGGATTTTATTGAACAATTCAAAATCAAACGTCCTGCGGCGTGGGTTGACTTAATGATCGCATTTGAGTCTCGCAAAAGGGCGGCTGCCCCAGACCGGACTAACCCCCTGAACATCACCCTTCCCTTCTCCTTCATTGACTACTACAAGAAGTTCCGTGGCCACAGCGTGGAGCATGCCTTGAGGAAGAGCAAGTGAGTCAGGCTTACTCAGAACATTCTAGGGGTAGATCGTGTTGATGGCAGGGTTCTAATTCTGCACGCTTGCTGTGTGGCCTTGGGCAAGTGAATTGACATCTCTATGCCTCAGTCTTTTTATCTGGAAAGTGGGGATAACGATTCCAATGACCTCAACCGGTTGTGGTGAGGATGAAATGAATGCATATATGTTAGTACTTAGCACAATGCCTGGGACCTGGGAAATATCACCTACGAGCTAGTAGTATGCACTAAGAAATGCAAGCTTTATGAAAGCAGAGAAGTTTAGTTCTGCCACTGCTGTATCTGCAGTGTCTAGATGAGAACCTGGTACATAGTAGGTGCTCGATCTATATTTGTTGAGTGTATCCCATGAGAGTCTAGGTTTCCTGCAACTCTGAGTCCCTTGGCTGCCGGCAACCATTTGTGGCTCAGCTGGTTGCAAAATGGAACATATTTGAAAGATAATTTAAAGCTGAATTTAAAAAATAATAAGAGCTGGCTGGATAGCTCAACTGGTTTGAGCATAGCCTTGTAACACCAAGGTCAAGGGTTCAGTTCCCTGTACCAGCCAGCCACCAAGAAATAAAAATAACAATAGACAAAAATCATAGGTTTCTATAAACCTTAAAAAAATTTTTGATATACATATCCATAGTGAAATGATTACTGCAGTCAAACAAATTTATGTCTATCACCTTCTATAGTTATCTTTTTCTAATAACCTTTTTATAAAGGAAAATGTCAAACATTTACCATGTAAAATGAACCCAATCATCCAGCTTCAACAATTGTCAGTCCCTGGCCAGTTAGATCCTCATCCGCCCTCCCACAAGTATTTTAAAGAAAATCTCAGATAGATTATCATCTAATTCATAAATATGTCAGTATGTAGCTCTAAAGGAAATCAATCTTAAATCATAACCACAATACCTTATCACACTTAAACATTGGCAATTCTTCAATATCGTCAAATATCCAGTTAAGATTAACATTTTTCCAATTGTCTCGTACATTTCTTTTTTCGGTTTGCATCAGCATCCCAGTGAGGGCTGTGCATAGTGACTATGCGATATGCCCCTCAAGTCCCACTTCGTGCATAGGTTCCCCTCCTGTTTTTTTTTCCTTTACATCTTATTAGATGTCTAAACTGGTTGGTTGTCCTACGGAGCCTCCTACAGTCTGAGTTTTGCTCACTGCATGCCCACAGTGTTGCAAACATGTTCTTTTGTCCCCTGGTATCATTTTTTGCAGATTGATTTAGAGGTTTAATCAAATTCAAGTTCAGGTCTTTGGCAAGTCTACTTCATGGGTGGTGATATTTCCTATGGTGTCACAGCAGGGGACACATAATGTCCCCTTGTCTCGTGTGATTTTAGCAGCCATTGATGGTCATTGCCTAGGTCCATTCATTCATTAGGGTTGCCACATGATCATCATCTTGGTCTGTCACCCCTTCATTTATTTTAGCTAGAATTTTTCTGCAGGGAGAAACTTTTCTCCTCAGTGGTCTCGTTACCTGAAGTACAGTTCATATACAAAAGAAAGAAAATGCTTGGTTCTTTCTCTCCATTTATAAGTTAAACAACAAAAAAATATCCTCCAAAGTGGCTAATGCATTTTTTTTTTTCTTTTATGGGTACATGAGGGGAGTATCATTAAGAATTCATGGAGTTAAGCATATCTGGTGTATTTTAAACCACGACAGTTATATCCTTATCAATGCTCAAATTCTCCCATGTTAGCCAGTAGGAGCCTCTTCAGGTTGGCTCCGAGTCCCTTTGACAGGACACTAGTGGTTTTCGACAGTGTCTTTGCCATCCGGTATGTGAAGACACTCCTGGCTCATCTCAGACATTCCCTACTCCATATCTGGAATTGGCCATAAGAAGCCCTGGTTCCTTTTAGTGGGAAACAAAGCAGATTTGATTCCAGGTATTCCTGCCCTTGGAGCAGGGCCGAGCCAGACTCTCTTAAGGGGCTGATGCTCTCTCTGCCCCACTGGGCACCTGCTCTCCGTGCGGGATCCCAAGTCTTGCCTGCACAGTTGTAGGGGGACTGTCAACCCTCTTATTAAGGAAACTGGCTACAGCCAGCCATGGGTTTACTCCACACCCCAACCACATTGTCCTTTGGCCTACACTATGGAAAGAACTGGTCTGGGAGATCGTGCGGGATCCCAAGTCTTGCCTGCACAGTTGTAGGGGGACTGTCAACCCTCTTATTAAGGAAACTGGCTACAGCCAGCCATGGGTTCACTCCACACCCCAACCACATTGTCCTTTGGCCTACACTATGGAAAGAACTGGTCTGGGAGATCTGGCAGCCTCTAGATTGTGTTCCTAGTGTGTGCTTTCCTTCAGGGGCAAAAACACCGTTAGCTTGGTCCCTTTGAACTCTAGAATAGGCGGGGTACACACTGTGGGTTTGGGTAATAAACAATCCCTGGCATTTGTTTAGTGCCAGAAAGTTTCCAAAGTGTTTTCACAGATATGGTATTTAACTTGATCTACACAACAAGCCCTGTGAGGGACGTAAGGCAAGTTCTATTACCCTTGACTTCCAGATGAGAAGACCAGATTCAGAAAATGGAGGCCAACTTACCCAAAGTCCCATAGCTACCAGGTGGAGGTGGCCAGAATGGAGGCATGCAATCCCAGCTCCCTGTTCAGTGCTCTTTCTGCTGCACACTGCTACCTCTGGACATGCTGCACCTTTAACAGAGACTGGGAGGGCCATGCAGTAAGATCAGACTCATCCCTGTCATGTGACAGGTTCCTGGAAGGCAGAGGAGATGGCCCTGAATGCACACGCTTGTCACCTGATGTAGCAGTGTGATAAACACCTCATGTGAGCATTTAACATGCTCGAATCCAACTACTGCTAGATTCAAAATGCATTCCTCCAAAACAGAGAGAGATCCCTTTATTTATCTCCTTGTCTTGCACTAGACTTTGGCCTCTACTACCACAAGGAAAGGTCACCCACAGCCAAGAGCAAAGAGAAATAGAAGAGGTTACATCTTAGCTTTGGGGCTCCTAAAGGTCCTGGTCTGGACAGTTTAGGGGATTTCCAAAGGTGCTCTTGACTTTCAAACCCTTTTCTGCCCCTGAGATGTGACAGATGTTCTGCCAGGGCATATGTTTGCACAGATATGCCTGGGTATTGTGTAGACACTCATTGCTGGTTCCTTTCTGTGCCACGCTCCCACAGTGTGGATTTTGTGAAGTGGTCTTCACAGGGCATGCTGAGGATGAGTCCTGATGCCATGAACGCCCTTTTTAAGCCGACCATCGACAGCATCATTGAGCATCTCCGTAAGTCTCAGCCAGGGCTTGGCTACTTGGTGGAGCAAAGCCTTTTCCAACATTACCAACCACTGCATGTGGAGTCAGATTGGCAGGGACCCAGGGCCCCTCAGGAGTGGCAGAACTTGGGCAAGTATGCGGGAGGTTGCTGGGCACAGGCTCTGTGTCCCTCTCCTTGGAAAGCAGCTGAGAGCCTGTCCTCACCTGGACTTTCAGTTTGACGTCAAAAGTTAGAGAGCTGGGAGCTCTGAGTGACAGGCCCTAGGGAATGCATATTCTTTGTCTTATCTGGACAAATTAGGAATCCTTACCCTGCTAGGGGAGAAGGAACTGTTGTAAGAACCAAAGGAAGTTTCCTGCCAGAGGGCACAGAATCGGCCATGCTGTTATCCTGCTACGTTGGTGGCCCTCGCCCAGGGGCACACATCAGACTCACTGGGGACCTTTTTCAGTATCCAAGCTCCCCTATCCACTTCCCACCCCTCACCTACCAAATGAGAATCCTTAGGGGTGGGATGGGATTATTACAAGAATCAGAGAATACTATTTACATCAGCCTTCCTTGACTTACTTAACAGAACCACAGGTTTGGAGAGCTTTAGGAGCATTCATTTATGCATAACAAATCCTACTTAAAACCATCACTACATGTCTGTTAAAACAGGTTTCTAGTTAGCAGCAGCTCTGGCTTTTATTCCTGAGCATATTGGTGTGCAAACTCCCTTTCTTTAAGAGGCGAGCTCTACAAAAATTCTCTTCAGTGAGCACCGACTAAGCCCAACCTTCATTTGGCCCGAGTGGTTTTGTCTGTTCCCCACAGACTTAGGTGGCCCAGTACCACCTTGCCTGCTGGTGGTCGCTGACAGGACGTTCTCCCTTCCTTTTCCCTTTCAGGGGACCTGTTTCAGAAGCCCGAGGTGTCCACCGTCAAGTTCCTCTTCCTGGTGGGCGGCTTTGCCGAGGCGCCCCTCCTGCAGCAGGCTGTGCAGGCTGCCTTTGGTGACAAGTGCCGGATCATCATCCCCCAGGACGTGGGCCTCACCATCCTCAAGGGCGCCGTGCTCTTTGGCCTGGACCCCGCTGTCATCAAGGTGCGCCGGTCACCACTCACCTACGGGGTGGGCGTGCTGAACCGCTACGTGGAGGGCAAGCACCCACCCGAGAAGCTGCTGGTGAAGGACGGCACTCGCTGGTGCACCGATGTCTTCGACAAGTTCATCTCAGCTGACCAGTCCGTGGCCCTGGGTGAGCTGGTCAAACGTAGTTACACCCCTGCCAAGCCCTCCCAGCTGGTCATTGTCATCAACATCTACAGCTCTGAGCACGACAACGTCAGCTTCATCACTGACCCTGGGGTGAAGAAGTGCGGCACGCTCCGCCTGGATCTCACAGGGACAAGCAGCACGGCGGTGCCCGCCCGGAGGGAGATCCAGACCCTCATGCAGTTCGGGGACACTGAGATCAAGGCCACGGCCATCGATATAGCCACCTCGAAGAGTGTTAAAGTCGGCATCGACTTCTTAAATTACTAACTCTCCCTCCCCGCCACCTGCCCTCTTGGACTCAACTCATCTGCATCTACTGACCTCAACCTTGACTGTTCTTGCCCTGACCTTGACTCTCACCATTGCCCACCTGAACTTCAGCAGGGAAGATGAAGACAGCCAGGACTAGAAATAGTTAGGGATTTTTGAGGGCACACTGGAGTTGGAAAAACGGTCAGAAATTAAGAGTGAGGTTTGGGAATAGGAAATTCAAGGATTCTAGAAGAACAGCTAATATTCATAGGAACAAAGGTGACAAAGCAGCACGTGACAAGGGAATCAGTACATTTCTGCAGCAGTGGTTGAGCTTGCTTTGAACAGATCTCTGCTAAGTAGAACTTGGGATGCCTTGTTGCTACCTTCCTAGATTTGAAATGAGATTTTCGAGCCAGGAGGAGATCTTCATCTGAGACTTTTTAAATTTTTTGGATCGCAGTCACTATAAAATGCCACCCATCTGCAGTTAATTTCTTCTCATTGGCATGTGATTAAAAGTGGTGACTCAGTGCAACTTGGAGCATTTGAAACAGGTGGGAGACCCCTACCTACACTGGGCACTATTTTAGGTTTTTGTAGAATTTAAATTCCAAGGAGGCTCAGTAAAGTAGTCACTAGGATTTTTGTGAGTAGGAGATCTGATCCCTCAGCTTTTCAGCAGGTAAAAACTTGCTTTGATGGAAATAGATATTAAAGAGTTACTGACATATCCCAAATTATAAGCTGGGATATAATTCCAAGAATGCCACGTGCTGATTTCTGAGTTCATAAGTAATTCTAGTTAATCTTAGGGGGAATTCTGTGTGAGAAAATTAGGTTGCCATTCACCTTGTTCTCATCATCAAGCCCAGAAGTCCAGAATAGCCCCTTGCCTTGAAAAGCATATGGATTTTAAGTTACCCCCCTCCTTCCTGCTCTCCTTCCTGCCCCTTAGAATTTTGGCCACTTATTCCCACATTTTGAAAGGAATACATTAGTGCAATATGGTAAGAGAATATGTTCTATGAAATGTTTCTTTGCAATCCTCAGTTTTTAAAGATCTGTCTAAAAATACTTTGAAGATGAATACTTGATGAATTAAGAGGGTTTTTTCCCCCCTTTTTCCCAAAGCAGGTCTGTTGTTCACCTGCATCAGAATTGCCTGGGTGCTTGTT